AAAGAAAGAAAGAAAGAAAGAAAGAAAGAAAGAAAGAAAGAAAGAAAGAAAGAAAGAAAGAAAGAAAGAAAGAAAGAAAGAAAGAAAGAAGGAAAATTAAGCAGAGTCATGCCTGGATGAACACCTCAGCCTCTCTACAAAGACCCCCTGTGTAAGTGTTACAGCTCTGAGGGGAAAAGTATCCTGGCAGTTGGGAGCCAAGGAAAACCACAAAATCACAACGCACAACAAACCTCACACAAGAGATTTATTGAGAAGGAAAAATCCAGGAGGGTGTCTGCCTCTTCTCCTGCAAGAAGCAGCAGAAAACTTAACAGAAGACAGGGTTTCTTGGGGATGGAGATTTCCAGGGTGGAGCCTTCCAGGGTGGGAATTGGACTTTTTACTCTGTAGGGCAGAGCGTGGCAGCCTGAGCCCCTGCAGCCCCTATGGTGTTCTGTGGGCAGAGCCTGGCAGTTGGAGGTCCTCGGAGGCAGCGTCTGGCTATTCACAGGCCTTGAGGGGCTCACACCCTGGGATCTAAGGAATAAAGCCCAGAAACCATCCTGGCACATTGGACTGCCTTCACATAAACTTAGAGACAAATGGCTAAGCAAGGAGAACCCAGGGGCTACCTGTTGCCCGTAGCTCCACATATCTTTTCCCAGTCCCTAGGCCCAGCACAATGAAAGCCCGGTGTTCTTACTTGGGGGAGCCAGGTGGATCACATATCCATCACCGACATAGATGGCCCAGTGTCTGTACACAGGACGGAAAATCTCAATCAGGTCTCCAGGCTTTGGTTCTGGCTGCAAAACCAAGAACAGGACTATTAGCAACGGCACAAACCCTTGAGAGCAGGGCAGGCTGGGCTGAGGAAGTGTAGCCCCTTAGTCCCACCAGTCAGCTCCAGTAGGTAGGCTCATGTGGATGCAGGCCCTGCAGGTCTGGTGCTGGCTTACCTCACAAGGCCATGACCAGGCCTGCAAGAAAGAGGCCATCCCCCACCCCCACTCTCATATGCCATGATTAAAAATTGCAAAATGGGGGCTGGAAAGATGTCTCAGCAGTTATGAGTGCTTACTGCTCTCGCAGAGGACCTGGGTTAGGTTCCCAGCACCCACATGGTGGCTCACAACCATCTGCAACTCCAGTTGCCTGGGGATCCTATGCCCTCTTCTGACCTCCACAGGTACTGCATGAAGGTGGGACACATGCATACATGCATGTAAAACACCAATGCACATGAAATAAAAAAGAAACCTATAAAATGAACAATACTGTAAACCTGGTCAAAAGTATATGACTCAAGAAGGCCATAGGCTCTAGCAGGGGACCTACTGCTGTTGTTTTGATAAACGGACACACTGTCAAACTTCCTTCCAAATGCTTGTGTTTATACACATAGAGAGAAGCTTCTTCTGCAGTGGGCAAAAGTCAAGGCAGAGACTCATAACTTGACAAAATGCTAAGTGTAAGCAGCTATTGAGTGCTCAGCTCTAATGGGACAGCTGTGTCACCACCAACCCACCCACCCTAGGTTCAGGGAATGTGGCAGAAGATGGAGAAGAGTGCTGTTGTTTTCTGGACATGACATGGCCATAGCACTCAGGATCACTGTAGCTGTGGTCACTTCACAAGAGCAAGGGAACAAGACCAGTCAGCATTCCATCAGGCAACACTAATTGATTTAGTGGGTTACCAGAGACAGAGAAGACAGACAGAGAGAAACAACATGAAAGTGAGAAGGAGTCATGTTGGGGGAATGTCAAGGGGAAGTTGGAGGCAGATATGATCAAGATACATTGTATACATGCATGCAATTATTAAAGAACAAATAAAAGACATTCCTTGAAAACTGCAAACCTAAAAAGGTCTCTTCATTATCTTTGTCTTTTTAGTGCTCTTGCTACATATATTACTGAGCTCCTTCCTGCTCAAGGTGCTGAGGCAGGATTATCAAGAATTCCAGGCTAGGGTAAAGAGATGGCTCAGCAGTTAAGAACACTGACTGCTCTTCCAGAGAATCCAGATTCAATTCCCAGCACCCACAAGGTGGCTCACAACTGTCTAAAAACTCCAGTCCAGGGAGACCTAGTGCCCTTTTCTGCCCTCCCTCAGGCACTGGGCACCCATATGGTACACAACACACATGCAGCCAAAATACCCATATGCACAAAATAAGTAAATAATTTTTAAATGACTTCTATGCTAGCCTGGGCCACAAAATTAAACCCTGCCTCAAACTTCCTTCTTCACACCCCTCCCTACTCCCCCCCCAAAAACCTTAGTACAATGACAAAAAAAGCATTTAGAATGTAACAGTCCAGCCTGCAAAATATTTAGTTATTTACAAAATAGTAAGTAGAAGGTCATACCCCCAAAGTTATGCACTGTGCAATTTTCTTTATATATACAATTGCTTTGTCTGCATGTATGCCCGAAGACCAGAAGAGAACATCATCAGACTGTGAGCTGCCATGTGGTTGCTGGGAATTGAACTAAGAACCTCTGGAAGAACAGCCAGTGCTCTTAACCGCTAAGCCATCTCTCCAGCCCTGTCATTTCCTATTTTCATGTCTTCATTTTGTGCAGGTCTCATGCATGGGCTCACAGCTGCTGTATGTTCATGACATGCATGACTCGGTGGTCATGTCATATTCAGAAGACATTGTCCCCAAGCACTCTTCACCATCCTCTGGCTTTCACAGTCTTTCCGCCCCTTCTTCCACTATAGTCTCTGGTCCTTGGAGAGAGTGATGGAGCTATCTCATTAGGACTGAGCACTCAGCAGCCCCCTGTCCTCAGCCCAGTTAAGAATCTCTTCTTGGACTGTCACCCAGTGACTTAAGGCTGTGAGTGTATCTGTTCTGTACCTCGATTAGGGCAATGGTTCACTTGTATGTGTTTATCAGAAGGGAACTACATACTTTAAAAGGTAAATTATATATTAAATTCGGGGTTTGGTCTGGTTTGGTGTTTGAGGCAGGGTCTCACTTAGCCCAGGCTGGCCTGGAACTTGCTATGTAGCTGAGGACAACCTGTTCTCGTTTCCTACGCCCAAGTTAGAATTTCTGGTGTGCCTCACCACAGCCTGCCCTCTTTATGCTGTTTTAGCTGAAGTTATTTCTTTTCCGTATTATTACATGGTTAAATTACACATTAATTTTTAAAAATAAAAATTAGCTGAGTGTAGTGCTACACACCTTTTTTAAAATTTATTTGTTATTCTTTTATGCTCATTGGTGTTTTGCCTGCATGTTTGTCTGTGTGAGGTATCAGATGTCTGTGTGAGAATGTCAGATCCTGGAGTTACAGACAGTTGTGAGCTGCCATGTGGGGGCTGGGAACTGAACCCCAGGCCTCTGGAAGAATAGTCAGTGCTCTTAACTGCTGAGCCATCTCTTCAGCCAAAGTATTTTATGTTTTTTTAAGATTTAGTTTTTTGCCAGCCAGTGGAGGCAACACACCTTTAACCCCAGCACTCAGGAGGCAGAGGCAGGTGGATCTCTGTGAGTTCGAGGCCAGCCTGGTCTACAGATTGAGCTCCAGGCCAGCCAGGACTACATGATGAGACCCTGTTCCAAAAGCAAAGCAAAACAAAAGAAGAAGTAATAATGACGACCTAGAGAGATAGCTCAGCGGTTGAGACTGGTTAAGGTTACTGCTCTTGCAGATAACCCAGTTTCAGTTCTCAGCACCCACATCAGGCAGCTCACAGTGGCCTGTAACTCCAGCTCCGGGATCTGACACTGTATTCTGGACTCTACAGGCCCCGATCTGCAAGTTCACATGGTTTTGTACACTTTGTAAATAACCGTTCTCTCTCTGCAGCAGCGGGGTTGAGGAGTTGCAACAGAGAACGTGTAGCCTGCTGATCCTAAAGTGTTGGGGCTGGGAGACAACTCAGTAAGTCAAGGGCGTGTTCTGCTTGATATCCATTTGAGCCCTAGAATTCACACAGAAAAGTCAGACATGGTGATATGTGCTTACGACCCCAGCACTGGGGAGGAGACATGGAGACAGGTGAATCTCTTGGGTTTGCTGTCCAAGCAATCAAGCCTGCTTGGCAGCCCACTCCAGGCCAATGAGAAATGCTGTCTTATAAAAAAATAAATAAATAAATAATAATAAAAAAAAGACATGGCCTGGCGGTGGTGGCTCACGCCTTTAATCCCAGCACTCAGGAGGAAGAGGCAGAGTTCGAGGCCCACCTGGGCTATAGAGTGAGTTCCAGGAAAGGTGCAAAGCTACACAGAGAAACCCTGTCTCAAAAAACAAAAAACAAAAACAAAAAAAAAGCACAGAATGTCTTAGTTAGGTTTTTGTTTTTTGTTTTTTGTTTTGTTTTGTTTTGTTTTGTTTTATTTTATTGCTATGAAGAGACACCATGACCACAGCAACTCTTACAAAGAAAACATTTAATTGAGGTGGCGGGTTACAGTTTCAGAGGTTCAGTCCATTATCATCATGACAGGGAGCATGGTGGTGTGCAGGCAGATGTGGTACTGGTTACATCTTGACCACAAAGCAGCAGGAAGTTAACTAACTGTCACACTGAGTGAAGCTTGAGAAAAGACCTCGAAGCCCATCCCCACAGTGACACACTTCCTCCAACAAGACTACACCTACTCCACAAGGCCACAACTCCTAATAGTGCCACTCCCTTTGGGGGCCATTTTCTTTCAACCCACCATACTGAAGGAACAATATCCACGGTTATTGTTGTGGAGTTCAATGGAGTGCTTTTTTTTGGTTTTTTGTCGTTTTGTTTTGTTTTGTTTTGTTTTGTTTTTTTGAGACAGAGTTTCTCTGTGTAGCTTTAGAGCCTGTCCTGGAACTCACTCTGTAGACCAGGCTGGCCTCAAACTCACAGAGATCCGCCTCGCTCTGCCTCCCAAGTGCTGGGTTTAAAGGCTGTGCCACCACCTCCTGGCCTTTAAGATAGGATTTTTGTTTTTTTTAGATGCATTGGTGTTTTGCCTGCATGAGAGTGTTGGGTACTCTGAAACTGGCGTTACAGACAGTTGGGAGCTGTCATGTGGCTGCTGGGAATTGAACCCAGGTCCTGTGGAAGAACAGCCATCTCTCCAGCCCCTCTATGAAGTTTTTAAAGGCACAAACCACAATTGTCTCAACTCTGGGGCTTTCTTTTGTCACATGAGGCATTATCATGTTTTGATTTGTTTTGTTTTTTCTGCGTGAGCAGCAGTTAAGGGAGACTACAGAAGAAGAATGAGAACCTGATCAATGTTTTAGGATGATAATCACACAATAAGGGGGAGGAAGGACAATTTTGGGAAATGAACGAGGTGGCTCTGAGATCAGTCTCCTCTTAGGTTGCTGTCAAGATTCAATTGCTGATGGGTCATGGTCTAGAGTGGCTAACAATCAGGCTGAGAATAAGGTCCTGCTGACTCCTAGTTTTTTCTTTTTTCACACAGTAACTTAGTTTGAAACTCAGTTTGAAATGGAACTAGTTTTTAAACATTATGTTATCTTCTGGCCTGGGAACAGTACACACAAACACATACCACACACACAAAAATATTTTTTTAGATTTATTTTATGTAGGAATGCTATATCTGCTTGTACACCTATTATAGATGGTTGTGAGGCACCATGTGGGTACTGGGAGTTGAAGTCAAGGCCTCTGGAAGAGCAACTGCTGAGCCATCTCTCCGGCTCCCACAAATAACATTTTTTATTTTTTGTCTAAAGGAGTTGAAAAAGTGGTTCAGCCATTAAGAGTGCATACTGCTCTTGCAGGTCACCCAAGTTTGGTCCCAGGTATGCATATCAGGCAGCT